TTCTGAGTACTTTCAGTCCTGAAAACATTTTATTGTCACCACATACTTACTTGATAGTATGTTTAGAGGTAGAATACTAGAGGAAAAGCATATTTTCTAAGGATTTGAGAGCATTTATATATTGACATTTAGCATCCAGTACTATAAATAAGAAGTCTGATGCCAGTACGATTTGCAGATAACTTCTCCCCTACCTTCAAACAATTTTAGGATCACCTTTTAATCTTACTATTCAAAAATTTCTTGAGACTATGTCTAGGTGAGGATCCTTTTTTACTGAATATATTGGGCACAGACGCATGTTTCCTTTTCATTAAAAAAGAAATAAAGAGAAAAATAATGATGATGTATGTATAAATCATGTATAATTAATGACAAACATTAACACATTGTCATATTTGTTTAAAATACTTTTATTAATAGATAAAATTAAGCTACATATATTGTTAGAGTCACATTTTCCTACATCCCTTCCCAGAGGCAATTGATATTGTAAAATTAATGTGCATCTTTTAGTGCTCATTTTTAATTTTGCTATAAGTTTATCTAAAATAATACATAGTATTGTTTCATTTACTTAAAATTATATAAATGGTATTATATTGTATCTTTCTTCAAATTGCTTATTTCACTCAACATTAGGCTTCTGAGAACTGTCTAGACTGATATATGAAGATCTAGTTCACTCATTTTTACTGCTTTATAAATTCTGTATATAAATACATAACATGTTACTTATTCAAAAACCTACAGCAAACATTAACCTTTCATTAAGGTGAAACATCAATCATTAAAATAAAAACAAGACAAATATGCACTGCATCATTAATACTGTTGTTCTGGAGATCTTTGACAATGCAATGAGATAAGAAAAAGAAATGAGTTACAAAATATTGACTAGGAAGAGATAAAACTGTCATAATTTGTGAACTATGTATACTTAAAAAGTCAGACAGAAAAATGAAGCAAAACAATAAAATTAATAAGAAGGTTCAAAAAAGAAGCCTGACTATAGAATGATAATGTCACAACAATAACTTTTATACAAACCAGCAATAATTGTTTCCCATTAAATTATTTCGGAATGGGATATACCAGGGGAGCCAAAAAAAATGTATATAAGTGGACGTTTTGGTCAACATTGCCCTAGCAGTAGTTTGTCGTAATCAGAAGTGTCTGGATGCTGATGGCAAACACTTTGAGTACCTCTTGTAATTGCAGAAGTCAAATGTGACATGTATTCATCTTTTCTTATTGGAATATATTGAGTATTACAAATTTAATAGTTTTACTCTCTTGAAATGTGGATACATTTTGTTGGCACCCTCTGTGTGTGTGCACATGTGTGTGTGTACACACACACACACGTACACACACAGTGGAAAAAGCACAGGAAAGAGAAAAAGAAGTTTTTTATTGATTTTTCCCACTAAGCAAACTTTTCCCAATGAAAACCCAATATATAAACTGGTAAGCATAAAATGCTATGGCTTTTTCTTTGTATATCTTTACAAAGGTAATATATGATGTTAGAAAATGTAAAATTATATATGATAACATATAATACAATAACATATACAATATCAATAATATAGGCAACAAAGTGTGTTCAACTTGCTTTTCTCTCATACAAATAAAGTAACTTTGGTGGGGGGGAAACTAGTCCCCAGTTTCCCATGGTGCCAAATAAGCAGGGTGAGGGTTCCTAAGTTTCCTATGGGCCAGGATAAGCCCTGAGAAGGAACCTGGGGCAGAGGCCTTCTCGCAAGCGCCAACACACATCTCCCCGCCAACATAACCCGTGCCATAGGCCACCCGTGAGCTGAGGGTCCTGAGTAAGTAGAGGATCCTGAGACAAAAGGGTGTGTCCCAGGAGGGACTTCAACACCAGGAAGCCACAGGGGGGATGCTTGGCTAGGGGCATGAGGATCCCAGAATGTGCCACCCTGTAGCATGAGAACAGAGTGGTAAAAAGTGCTGGTTTATTTGGTGATCCATTTGGAAAAAGCAGTAAAGTTGGATCACACCTTCCACCTTGCACAAAGGTAAATTCCAAGTAGATACTCAAGGCAACCCTTTAAGCGGAAAGGTGTGAAAGAAGTAGGAACGCATATGGACACTCATTTTGTAATCGAGGAGTGGGGGACCCAGTCCTAAGCCACACACGGAAACAAGAGGCAATAAGGGAAAATGAGATTCAGGGTGAACAAGAGGCTAAGAGCAACGAGCAGAGGGAAGTGACAGAGTGTGAGGCGATGCACGCAGCATGGGTAGCAGACAGGGGCTTGTCCAGTCCTCTGCAGGACTGTGCTGGACTCTGGTACAGCACCCATCTATATCGTAGACCAATCAGTGGCCCCTAGAAGGGAGCAGGGAGCCATTCCTCCACACAGCCGTCAAACTCTTAGCCAAGTGGTGCTATGGCAGCTTCGAGGTTGACTTGGTGAGGGCTGTGCCTATCCGTGGGTGGCACTTCAGTGAGCGTGTTGTGGTTGAAACTGCTTTGACAGTGGCACATAGGGCCACGGTGAGGATGCAGAGTTTGAGACTGGAGGTATCAGCTGGGAAGCTGGATGTCGGCAACCTTGCCTGCACTCACGAGGGGAGGGTTGGATGTAAAACCACAGAATGCTCAGGAGAGTTAGCAGGCTGGGGAGGGCACGGGGAGTTAATGTGGTACCTACAGGCACCAAACGTAGATGTGATCATGAGATGAATAAAAAAATCCAAGGCCCTTTCTGGAACTAGAAGGCAGTCTGTGGCAGCAGGTCCAGACTTTCACAAGAGACAGCTTAGGCTGGGGCAGCCCCATTATGGCAGGGCACCTCCCCACAGAGCGAGACAAGCTCAAGCTTTGATGACAGTGTCAAATGTTTACCATTGGGAAACCCAGAAAGAATCTCTGTTGGCTGCAGCAGGCAGGTGGGCAAGTTTTGTGCTTGGTGGTCCCGTGCTGTTTCATTCTGAAGTCGGTGTGGGAGGGAGTACCGTAGTCTCTCATGCTGATGATAGCCTCTGAACATCTTAATCAGACCCTGACTGGCAGGCATGTTTCCGACTCCCCTCCACGTCCCTAGGCAGGATCCACTGGGAACTGTGCTCCTCCCCTGACACAGCAACCCACCAAGGAATGAAGGGCAGACCAGAGACCTGAGCTTCCACATACAGCGAGTGTTTCCAGGAGGGGAGTGCCAGCAAATGGAGAGGAAGCTCTTGTTTTGGGCCAAGAACACACCATGGAGACGTTTCAATACCAGCAGGCTTCCCTGTGACAGAGTGGCTCAGCAGAAGGCCTCTGAGGCCCTCCCTGCGTTAGGAGTCAGTTGTGTCCTGCAAGCACCAAGCGCTCACCTCAGAGATGGGGGACGACTGCCTGAGGCAGGACCCAGAGAGGAATTTGGCAGAGTGCAGGGGAACAAGGAGGCACGTGTTAATTTGGGACCCTGAGCCAGGAGGAAGGAGAAAACGCTCTGCCTTTGTGCTGAAATTAAAGACACTGAGCAGTAACGTGTCACGGAAGACAGCACGGGCCAAGCCGACTACATTGGGACAAGTAGATGCAGGAGCCATCTGCAGGGCAATCCTACGCAGAAAACTGACTGCCCAGCCCACATGCAGTTCACTTGGAAGAAAGGGATGGTGGTATTAGCAGCTTTTAGGAAATAAAACAGGGCCCCAAAGCCAGCAAAAAATCCCCAGGGGGGTGAACCTTGCTGAGGGTGTGGTGTCACAGCAACCTCACATCATATGCTGGCCGTCCAAGGCACCAGGACCTGGAAAGAGGTAGCGTCCCCTGAGAAGGCCCTGGGACCTGGTGGGCACCCATGCCCGCTTGACGGCCTGAAGTGTAGGGCAGAGGGTACAAGCAGGAGAGCTGTAACCGACCTGTAACCCAAACTCCTGGAGAAAGGAGAAACAATAAAATAAAGCTACGCTCTCTATTGAGGAGAGCAGTCAGGAGGCAGAGCACTCAGCGAGCACTGATGCCCGGGGCACAGTGGCCCAAAGCGGCATCCCAGGATACCAAGATAGGGCACCAGTCGCAGAAGCAGCTGTGCCCAAGGGAAGCTTCTTATCCACTTGTTGGCCGAGGCTTTGAGGAAGAGGACTCTTTCTTGACACATCCAAAACATGCAGCGAACCTGGCTTTCGTGATGCAGGAAAGGGTCTGAAACTATTGGGAGGAGGTGGCGGAATGAGTTGCCCGTTTCCATGGAAGGGTTCAGTGGGCAAGGCTGGGCTCTTTCTTTCCTCCAAGGGGTGACGGGAGCTTGGTTGGAGGGGAGAATAGATGGAACAGTCACAGCCATTTCAAGCACCCTTAGCGTCTGCCTTACGACCCCCATGGGCAGTTCATCGGGGCTTCCCTTCCTGGATCCCACCGAAGGTACCAGGGACAGGGCAGAAGGGAGGCTCCCCCAGTGGAATCAGGGGCCAACCAACCCTTCTCACTCTGCCAGGAATTTGGTCTTGGGATCCCAAGGAAGAGAGGTGTATGGAAGTAGGTTTAACGGCTGCTTCCCAGAAGAGAGAACTACATGAAATAGGCACTCAGCAAGTGGCAACCATTATTGTTATCATCGGGCATTAAAAGTGCAGGATGGCTTGGCCAGTGGCCCCCAAGGATGTGTAGACAAACCCGAGGATGCTGACTTGCCTCTGCATGCCAGCAGTCAAGGAAAGACACCTTCATCGAGGGACTTCTTGTGCCAGGTGACAGGCACTGTGCTGCCTGCTGCACAGGTGTTGTCTCTTTTAGTCCTCCCAACATTCCATCCTAATTCCACCAAAATCCCTTCCACACCCCCCGCCTACCCCCAGTCCCCAACCCCTTCTTGATGTTTATCCTGAGCAGTGCAGCCCATCTCCACCCCTGCCTCCTGTGAGCACCGATAAGCGTGCGTTTGTCAGGGAGCAAACGCCCCAGTTAGTTAGCGTTTATTGTGTAGTTTTGCCTTTCTCTTCATGCAGACTGTAAAGTCGACGACAAGTACCATGTCTCGTTTTTGCCAATCAAAGCACAAAAGTTTATTGATAATACATACAAATGTAGGCGGGTGAATGAGGTTAAGTCAGTACAGCACATAGAAGGGTAGTGTACTTTTTTGATGAACAGGGTCACCATTCATCAGCTCATGTAGAGGAAAGAGTAAGTGAAAAAGAATTCAACCTATGCAGCAACAAATGAATTTTCAGCACAAGCGCCCATACATGTTTGTCTCCACAAAATGGTCCAGCTTAGACAGGGAGACCACCACAGGCAAGGCATCCTTCACGATGCTATAATATGAAGTTCTTTGTCCACAGCTGGCAGTTGAAATGAGCCCTTGACCACAGGAAGAAGTAAGGGAGTAATTTACAATGTGCATTGCCTGCAGACTGCAAAACCAAGAAGTTACTCAAAGCTCTGTGGGAACCCCTGCCAGGCCAGTAAGAGTGTGGTCCTTTTTTAGCAAGTGTAACTTTCACCTCATGATGTGGTGATTGGCTAAGGCTGGATCTCCTATAGCACCCACTGCAGAGTCTTTGAAGGAGAGCACAAGTGTGTGTTCACCAAACGAGTTTTAGGTACACTCAGTCCCATTCTGTCTGGGATGACCATTTAAGAGGCCAGGGTGTCCAGGGGGACCTGTCTATTTCTGTTCCTGATAAAGAGGGACACGAATGAGAGCAGCATTTGGGCATCCGGCAATTCCCCTGTCAAGACTGGCTTTTCAGACAAACCCATCGACGGTCGCAAAAGCTGAACCTCAGCACAGCCACTTCCCTCTGATATCGAGGGAAATAACTTCAAGTCTGAAACGGACTTGGCAAGCATGTTATTAATAACTGTCATGCTTATTAACAAATTTAATCCGGCCTGCTGCAGAAATGAGTTGCAGCAATGTGACACAGTCTCCCGACACACTTCACTGACATACATCTTAATCTGGCCCTGCTTTGCCACACTGGCATTTACCTTATCCAGGGCACATAAAGCCTTCTCCTTAACAGCGGGGTCACGAATGGGGATTGTGTTTCCGACAATGGAGTCGCTGGCCAAATGACGATTGATATCGTGGCTAAATGAAAAACCAGCATCCTTGGGCTGAGCAAACAACAATTTTCCCTGAATGAAAGGACACTTGGAGAGGCCAAGAACAGAAATCACATTTTGAATATTACAAGCATCACACAAAAGTCAGCATTTTAATTAGGGAAAATGTGTTTTGGGGGGGACCATGTTCTTTTGGGTGTCCTTACTGCCTATGCTTCATGTCATCCTCATCCCCAGGACTTGGCTTTTCCTGGATCTTTGACTAAATTCCAGAGCCCTTACCTGTCCTTTCTCCTGTCTGAAGTTCCATCCTTCTCACTTCTTTTCTTACTGTGTGTGTACCCCTCGCTGATTAGTGAGTGAACACTAGCAACTTCTGGCCTTGACCTCCAGACATGCTTTCACTAAACAAATAACTTGAGCATATTCAAATATTTGACAAATCACAAAATGTTCCCACTCTTGAAAAAGCTATCCAGTTTTGATGTTTTTGGAAGGAAATTTTGGGACTGTGTTTTCTTGGACATGAACTGCACTGCTATCTGACATGGTTCTAAGGGTAATGCAAACATATAGAGCTTTGATCTGAGTCCACAGACAGACATGTCAAAACTCAGGATGCAAGGGTATCAGTATCTCTCTCTCCTGATTTAGGGTCTTAATTTTCAAATGTTTCTCCTGTGGCTTTCACCTCCCTTAAGCTTGTTCCCACTGTTTCCTTAGAGGTACAACATTTGAGTTTTCCAGCACCAAAGTAAGAGGAGAGGAGAACAGCAGCTGCCCGAGAAAGAAGCTGATTTGCTTCTAAATCCTGTATTCTGACTCAAACGTCCCTTTCTCCAACCCTTGTCTCCAGGATATCACTATGTGTGGAGCAATCCCTTCCTTCCTTGCCTAGATCTATGTCTACAGGTAGACAGACAAGAGAGAATGCAGATTGTTATATGTACATAAGTGCCCTCTCTCCAAAATGAGTAATCTAGTTTTCAAATATCCCCCATTTAGGCTTCAAGAATACCTTCCACCCTGCCCTCCAGCCACTTTCACCACCCTTTCGCTCCTCCCCAAATGCCCACCTTTTCCATTCCCCTGCCCTCATCTACTCTCTGGGCTTCACACTCTCCCCCCAAAAATCCACTTTTCTGCTCTACCCCTAATTTCTGCCCCATAAATATTGAAGCTGCTTCCCCAGAACCAAAAATTGTTGAGATAGGAGTAGAAAAGCAGGTAATGGTTTCATGTTTGCTTCTACCACCCCCTTGTGACAGGTTCAGGTCCCACATTTCCTGGAAGAAATGTTCACTTCAGTTTCCACTAGAAATCCTGTAAGTGGTCTTCCTCTTTCTTTCCCTTGAGTTGTGCCTCCCCCTATAGATAGCAAGCAATCCAACAAGTAAGGGTTGGTGAACATTTAGTGCTCGGTAGTAGGTCACAGTTCTCTTTTATTGATTCAGGACTCTCAAAAATTCTCACCTCTCACTCCCAGATCCCAGCCTCAGCTCTCTCCCTATCCCACGCACCATTTAGAAAACTAAAATGAGCTGGTGGGTAGCCTGGGGATGTAGGGAAAGCTGATTCTGCCCCCTTCAGGTCTCTGTCCCCAACCCCACCCTGACCACCCTGAGAGCAATGTTCACTACCAAACCAACTTCCACACAACCAGAGTAGTTTCTTCCTTTTTCACTCGACTACAAACACATCTCTTTAAGGTCAATAAGGACCAATAGGGGCCAAAAAGACCAACTGTCCACAATTTGTGGTCAACTGAGATACATGTCACCAATGAGCCATGGTCCCCAAGTTTCCCTCCCACTAGCCATGACACAAGAGTGTGCCAGCCTCTCTCCCTTCTCCCTAGCACACCAGATTTATCACACATTTTCTTCTATGCCAATGCTAGAAACCAAAAGAAAATGCATTTTCATTTTGCCAAAACTTGCCTTCCTCTAATTTCCAGGGAATTTATCTTCTCCTGGAGCAACTATTTCTATTTCTATTTCTTTGACTTCTCCTAGAACAAAAGGAAACAGCCTATCTCTTTAATTCCACTCCTTTCAGCTACTAATATTCATCATCTTTCTTGAACCCATGAGAAAACAGATTTCATGAAATAAAGCTTGGAGAGAGAGAGAGAGAGAGAGAGAGAGAGAGAGAGAGAGAGAGAGAGAGATTTAAAATATTTATTTATTGTCTCTGCTCATTGTTCTTGGAATACTGACTTAAAAGAAAGATTTGGGATCTTCAGTCAAGATGGAAGAGTAGGTCAACACTGTGCTTGCCTCCTTTCATGACCAAATCAAAAGTACAACTAAACTACAGAACAACCATTATTGAGAATAGCCTGATGATTAGCTGAACCTACAATGAAGGAAACACAGAAGAAGCCACTAAGTCTGGAAAGAGGGGTGAAGATGCAGAATGTGCTGGTCCCATACTTGGGTGTGGCGGTTAAAAATTGGGAGGGATATCTCAGCTGCAGGGGTCTCCCCAACCCAGGGTTCCAGTGCTGGGAGGAGAAGTCCCCACAATCTGTGCTGGCAATTCAAACCAGCAGAAATTGTGGCTGAGTGAGATGGAGGCTGCTGGAATCCCAGGCATTCATCTTAAAGGGCCCTGCACACAGATCTACTCACTGACAGACTCACTTGCTTTCAGCTCCAGCATTGGGACAGCAGCTCAAAAGGCATCATGGATATATAGGGAAGAACTGAATTGTCTGGCTGCAGGGCAAGGGTTAGAGGGGCAGCTTTCTCCCAGGCAGAATCCATTATTTCTTGGTTGAGCCCTCACCCTCCTGGCCCGCAGACCCAGGCAGCCACCATATCTGAGTCTCCATCAACCTGGATAACACTCCGTCCTCTCCTGGTGATTGCCTGAGACCCTGCCCCATCCAACGTGCAGGCCCACCCAAGCCGCTTTCAGTGGCTTTTCCATACAAACAGCCTGTCTTGGTTCATGCTACAGACTTTCCTAAAATCTCACAAAGGCTAACGAAACCCAAACAAGCAGGATCTGGCCTTAGCATGCCCCATAACTTGTGCTGAGCAGCCCCAAGCCTGACATTAGTGGCAGCCAGCCTCAGTTGGCTGCTTGGCTTCTCCCAGGCATCTCAAAGCCCAGTGCAGGAGTCCGGCATCTGAGGATTGCATTGTAGCTCATGCCAGGTGGCTCCAGGCAGAGCACAGACTGTGATTGAACTGGTTCTGCAGTGGAACCTCTCCCAGGAGGCTCCTGGTCTGGCATGTGGGGTTTCTGACCAAGCCAGAGCACCACTTCAACTGCCTGCACGGGCACACCCAAAGGGCAGACTGGGCAGGCACCAGAGTCCTGCTAAAACGAAATCTGCTTCATAGGACCAGCCCCTGCACAACAACAGGTCCTCCACTGTCATCACAGCCATGCCTCACAACCAATCATCCCAAAGTTCAATCCCTCCCATTGACATGCAAACAACCATCAAGGCTAAGCTACAATAAGAGGATACACACAACCCACACAAGGAACACACATGGAGCACCTGGCTCAGGTAACCAGGGAGACCTGCCACTGGGCCCCCTAGGACACCTACTACATAAGGCCACTCTATTATGACTGGGGGGCATAGCAGCCCTACCTAATACATAGAAACAAACACATAGAGGGAGCCAAAATGGGGAGACAGACAAACATGTCCCAAATGAAAGAGTAGAACAAAGCTCCAGAAAAAATAAATAAATAAAATAAAATAAATGGAGACAAGGAATCAACCAGACACAGAGTTCCAAACACTGACTATAAGGATGCTCAATGACATCAGGGAAAACTTTAGCAAAGAGATAGAAAACATAAAAGAGAATCCGTTAGAAATAAAGACTATAATAACAGAAATGAAGAATACATTACAGAGAATCAACACTAGATTAGATGAAGCAGCAGATCAAATGAGCAATTTAGAAGATAAGGTAGCAGAAAACACCCAATCAAGACAGTAAAAAAGAATATATTCAAAAAATTGAGGCGAGTTTAAGGGGCCTCTGGGACAACATCAAGCGTACCAACATTCGCATTGTAGGGGCACTAGGAGAAGACAGAGAGCAAGGAATTGGAAACCTATTTGAAGAAATAATGACAAAAAAACTTCCTTAACTTGGCAAAGGAAATAGATATACAAGCCCAGGAAGCACAGAGAGTCCAAAACAAGATGAACCCAAAGAGGCCCACATCAAGACGCATCATAATTAAAACGCCAAAGATTAAAGACAAAGAGAGAATCTTAAAAGCAGAAAGAGAAAAGCAATTAGTTACCTCCAAGAGAGCTCTCATAAGACTATCAGCTGATTTCTTAACAGAAATTTTGCAGGCCAGATGGGATTGGCAGGAAATATTTAACGTGATGAAAAGCAAGGACCTACAACCAAGATTACTCTACCCAGCAAACCTACAATTTAGAATCCAAAGACAGATAAGGAGCTTCCCAGACAAGAAAAAAAAAACTAAAGGAGTTCATCACCACCAAAGCAGTATTACAAGGAATCTTAGAGGGACTACTTTAAGATGAAAACACAATCAGAAATATGAATAATAAAATGGCAATAACTACATATCTCTCAACAATTGCTTTCAATATAAATAGATTAAGTGCTCCAATAAAAAGTTAGGGGAGCTGAATGGATAAGAAAACCACACCCTTACATATGCTGCTTACAAGAGACTCACTTCAGATTCGTAAGAGACACACAGATTGTAAGTAAAGGGATGGAAAAAGATATTTCATGAAATGGAAACAAACAAACAGAACAGAAAAGGCTGGGATAACAATACATACACGAGACAAAAGAGACTTTAAAACAAAGACTATAACAAAGAGACATAAAAAGACCTAGTAATCCCACTTCTGGGTATTTATCCTAACAAACCCAAAATGCTACTTCAAGGGGACATGCTCATCCATATGTTCACTGCAGCATTGTTTACATAAGCCAAGATATGAAGGCAACCTGGGTGTCCCTGAATGGATGAATGGATAAAGAAGAGGTGGTACATATATAAAATGGAATATTACTCAGCCGTAAAAAAGAACAAAATCTGGCCATCTGTGACAACATGGACAGACCTAGAGGGTATTGTGCTGAGTATAGTAAGTCAGACAGCAAAAGACAAATGTCATATGATTTCACTTATAAGTGGAATCTAAAGAAAAAAATAAATGAAACAGAAACAACCCATAGATACAGAGAACATTTTGATTGTTGCCAGATGAGAGGGGTTAGGGGATAGGTGAAAAGGGGAAGGGATCAAGAAATACAAGTTGATTGTTACACAGTAGTCATGAGGATGTAGGGCATGGCATAAGGAATATAGTCAATAATATTGTAATAACTATGTATGGTGTTGGTACCAGATCTATCGAGGTGAAGATGGGAGGGGGATTGGGGTCAGGGTGAGAAAGGTGAAGGGATTAAGAAATACAAATTGGAAGTTCCAAAATAGTCATGAGGATGTAAAGTATAAGTAATATATCAATAATATGGTAATAACTATGTATAGTGCCAGGTGGGTACTAGTCAGGGGGAATCGTGTCCTAAAATATATAAATGTCTAACAGTATGCTCTACACCTGAAACTAATATAAAATAATATTGAATGTCAACTATAAATGAAAAATTAAAAGTGGTGATGAAAGATAAAGAATAATAAGAGGTTTTAAGTTCCACATATAAAACAAGTAAGTCTTGGGGAGGTAATATATAGCATAAGAAATATAGTCAATAATATTGTGATAGCATGGTACAGTGTCAGATGGTTGCTGAACTTATCATGATGATCATTTCTTTAGCATAAGGAATATGATCAATGTGATAATAACTCTTTATAGTGCCAGGTGGGTACTGGTGAATAACTATGATGTACACCTGATATTAATATAATATTGTATGTTAGCTATATTTTAATAAAAAGCTCTTATAAAAGACTCATTATCCACATCTTGACAACTCATCTATCATTTTAACACATCTCCCTTTTTGGTCTAAATATTTTTTCACCCAGTATGTGTTCCAAACAAATCTATATAAACCCTGCCCATTTTCCCATTCTATCATCTCCTTCACTTCCAGCCTAGCTTGCATCCAACATTTTTCTTTCCCAGCAATTACTCAAAAATAATCAACATATTTTACAGATAGGAAAATATAGATGAGGAAAAAGATGAGAATATTAAATTCATAAGTTAACCTATTACCCATAGCCATTCTTATTCTGATATATATAGTCTTTCAGAAGTTTTAATGCACGTAAATGTTTTATATTTCTCAAAAATGAAATATACTGTAAAGGTATACAGGCATGTAACTGGCTTTTCCACTTGAAATTATATGCTGATTTTTTTCCAACTAAATGAGTGTAGATGCCCATCAACATTTTTAAGAGCTACATAATGTTTCAATGTGTAGACATACCCTAATTTGCTTAGCCAAGTGCTTATTTTGAAACATTTGGGTCATTCAGTTTTTCACTCTTCAAAATAATGTGAATCCTTGTACCAGCCAATTACTTGATTATTTCCTCAGGATAAATTTCTACAAGTGGAATGACTGGGTCAAAGAACACGCACACCTTAAAGGCTGCTAAAACATGTGTCCGAATGGGCCTTGTACCCAGTGTATGCTCCCATCAGCACAGTTGGAGTGCCCCCACCACACACACCCTCACCACTCTAGATGGGATAGAAGTGGATCTTCTCCAGTATGGATGCCAGCAGCCCTCTGGATGGTTCCACAAAGATCTTGGCACAGCCAACCTTATAAAAGAAATCTGATAGAAACACTAAAAATTATTCTTTCTTCTATTATATCTTCCTGTTTCAAAGTAGTAACTAATGTAGTCACTGACATAGATACCAGAGTTGGCCAAGAAAGAGGATGTTTTCCTATCAAATGCCCCCAGGACTCTAAAATAAAACTGTCCCTCTCTATATGCCCCCAGAATGGACTCCAACACTCCTTCATTCAAAAGGTCTCATTTCCTTCCTACCCTTACCATTCCCACCATCAGCAGTGAAATGTCACACCTTTATCATCCTGCACCTGGACCACGGTAGTCACTTCCTAACTGGTGTGCCAATCTCCAGTGGCCACCCTTGTTCCATCCCCAACTCAGACCCATCCTGCACACACATCAGCCATATGGTTTTCCTTTCATCCTGTCATTCCTGTGCTTATGAAAGGTTTTGGTGTCTTCCAGGGGTGAATGGAGTAATATGCACACACCTCAGTTTAGCAATCCGGGATCCTCCACGAACGGGACTCACCCCAACTGCTGGACTACATTTCCCATCACTCTCCTTCCCACACTTTGCACTCCAAGCAGGTCAGCCTCCTCTCTGGAGCAGGATCCCCACCTCCATGCCTTTCTCCCCACCACTCTTCCTTCCTCCAATGCCCTTGTGCCGTTTTTATCCCCTTCTTCAAACCCAGGTTACTTAAGTGTCCCTCCTCTGTAAAACTTGCCCTGAGCATTGTCACCTGCAGAAGTTCCTGCCCTGATGGGAAGGGTCTGGCTATGATCAGAGACTTCTGGTTTTGTTAGTATGTTTTGTTTCCATAAATCTTGCCTTCCCAAATAGATCATAAACTCATGTACATGATAAATTTCTTTTTGTTTGCTGGTTAAAACAAACAGCTTTATTGATGAAACACAGGTCTAATGTTAACAAATGTAAACCAATACAAAAGTGTAGCTTATTCATTAGTTTGCTGTCAGTTTAGGTAAAGAGTAAAAATACCTCAATCTATGTAGCAAGATGGAATCAATAAGTATTTTCTTTGTACAAGCTCTAGTATTCATGTGACATCCTTAAAGTGGTCCAGACTAAAACCAACCAACATTGCTGTTGATGATCTGTGATATTCATTATTTCAAAATAGCAGCTGAAAGTATCTCTTTGCCATATAAGCACAGTGAAAAACAAATAATTTACAAAATGCACTGTTCCCAAGTGCAAACTAAAAAAATACCTCAATATTGTTTGGGACAGACCCCCAATTATAGTTTGGTCAACACTTTTAGGACTTTTACTTTCACGACCAGATCACTGTGATTTGCTAATGCTTTGATTTTCTTCACACACACACCAGATTCTTTAAACAAGAAAAAAAGTGAGCTTCTGCTGAATTCTTTCCTGGATGATGCAAGCCCTTCATTTTTTATGTTGTCATTTATATTCTCAAATAGGGTTAGGATATTAAGAAGAATTTCTCTGTCCCATTCTTTATTAAAGAGGGAAATCAATTCTGATGGTACTTTACAACTGACCAGCTCTCTTGTCATGGCTGGGTTTTCAGTAAAGTTTATAATTAGTTTCATAATCTGAATCTTGGTGAAATAATTTCCCAGGAATAACAATGCAAAAAAGTCTGGAAAAGAATAGGAAAGCAAATGTTGGTAATGGTTAGTCACAGTCATGTTAGTTAACAGTCTTAGTCCAGCCATTTGCACAGCTGAGTCCAAGCGACAGATCATGGTGTCATCGCACACTTGACTGATATATGCCTTAATCTTGCCCTGATTTTCAGCATTCACACTCAAGTTATTAAGGGCATTGTAAGCCTTTTCCCTAATAATGGGATCTTTTGTTTTTATCAGTTTTGCAATAATTGGGAGACCACCCAGTTCACGAATGGCATTTTGGTTAAATGAATATGCTGCATTGTTACCCAGAGTGACCAAGGCTACTTCTTGAATAAAAGGATCGTTTGTCCTTTCCAGGATATTAAGGACCTTTTGAAGGTCTGCCGTACCTAGAATATCATCAATTTTATAGGGAAAGTTAAACTTGCCCCTGCGAACAGTCCATGCTGTAGCTGGAGTCCTGGTGCTCTTAGCCCGGGCCCTTCCTTTGGACTTCCCACTTGCCTTGCTCCCAGCCCTAGCTCCACTCCTGGTGGGGTGGCAGCCTCCACCTCTGCCTCCTGGGCAGGGTAAACTTGGTGCAAGTGCTCTGGTCCCAGATATGGTACCCAACCTGGCCGCTTTGCCAGCCTTTGCACTTGCCTGTTCCTTCAGAGTGCTGAAAAGGGCCTTGGCCTTGGCTTCTAGGCTACCTCCGCTCTGCGCCCATGAGTGGGCCCCCACCTTTACATCTGGACCACTCTTGAGTTCCACACCCACCTCAGCCTTGGCCTTTGAGTCACTATGAAGTCTAGCTCCAGCCCCCATCCCAGCATTAGCTCCTTTCCCAGTCTGGACCCCAGTCTCTGCAATATCACTAGATTCCTCCTCCTCATCGTCATCGTCTTCATCCCACATTTTCTCGCTCTCATCCCTTCCCCAAGTCAGCCTGTACACGCAGTAGCAAGCACCAGCCCCGATCACCACACCAGCAGCCACACAGCCAGCTTCCCGAGTACGACCCATACTGGGGTGAATATCTGAGCTGAATTCTTAACAGGGACAGAGAGGGCTTGATCTGGCCCAGAGGAGTGCTCTCACGTCAGGGATCAAGCCTTTCAGGGGTGGAGTCTTTTGTTATAGCTGGCAGGTTCTGCAACAGCTGCAGATACAGTGGGACCTAGGAAAGAAGGAAAGATTTGAGGCTGCAATCTCCTCCCTTGTACTTGTGCATGCAGACAGACTAAACTACGGACCAACAAACAGACAGGGACATGGCAAGGACTCAGAGCTAGATCACTGATTCCTTTCTTCCATCGGGAAGGTAATTTTGAAACTTTTCCCCACCTCCAGATTCTCCAGCCTCATGTTCAACGATCTCACCCCAGTTGGTTCAATTTAAGGTACCTAATCATTGCCCTACTTCCCCTGCCCCTCCAGATGTCCTGGGAGCAGTGGCACCCCCACAGAGACCCGCACAGGTCCGGATAGTTTCTTTTCTTTCTTGCCCGGAAGGGCACTGTGTCCTGCAAACCTACATACAAAAGGGATAGGGAGGAGGATGCTGAGAGCGCAGGGGACAGATGGATCTCACCAGGGACTGGACACGCCCCTCTCCCAAATCCCTGGCCCTAGTCCCGCATAGCCCAGTGTTTCCCATCTTCATTTTACTCCTCACCTCACAGCGCTGCGGTTTTGAAATTCATTATTTCCCTCCTACTACTCCTTCGAGTTCCTCCAATCCTCCGCCCCGCCCCCACCCCCGGAAAATCACTTCCTCTGAAGGTGACGCCACACTCACTTCCCTGTAACAAAATCAGTGGTGGTGGAGAGAGAGTGTCTATAAGCCAGACAGACTGATGTACAATGCACAAAGGTCTCCAACTCCACCCTTGCCTCCGCCACCCCCACCATCTCAGAGGTACCGGGACACTCCTCCCCCACCCATTATACTAACTTCCACTGCTCCAGAGGAATTTCCTTCCTCTCACATCTCCGGTTCCGCCTCCACCAAACTTAAGGACTGACCACTCTGGGACTGACTGCTTGATGGACGGACCAATACCAAGAATTCTGTACCCCGAATAATAATTTTTAGCAAGGTTCTCTCTACCCCGATCCAGGATTCTATGACTCTCCTACTCCCAGCCATTTCTTTCCCTGCCTTGTACCTGCAGAGAACATTCTTTTGTAAGCTCCCTAATGGTGTAGAGAGGAGGGAAGGAGGGGGGATGCGGAGGTTCACGAGCCTATTCGAGTTCACAGACTCCACCATTCTCCACCCCAGGGGTCTCCAATAGTGCCAGCACCCTCACTCGGACCTACTTGTTTCTGGATAATGTTCCTCTTCTTCCTGCTCTTGGGTCGGATTGGCTTTCTGGCGCAAGATCCGCAGACATTGACAGGCTACTTGGCAGAGGCGGATGGCTGGGCGAACAGGCCAGCACTTCAGAGAGTCCCAAAGAAGCTTTTCCGAATTCAAGGTCCTGGTGGTCAAACGGATTTTACCTTTTGGTCTCTCACCTTATCCCCACTTCTCAGGACTCCACGAACATCAGCCCTCTTCCTACAAGGCGTCCACCCGCCCC